CACTTTAGATCCGCCATCAATTCAAATGTCGACCAATAAATTTGTGCGCGCTTATTTATTTAGACAGGCGAATCCGGTATTCGGGTCATCTCCATACCATCGGGCTCGATCTATCACTTTTATTTACTTTGGCATTAGTCACACGAAGTGCGTAAGCATCAGAATCACTAAACCATATGCAGAAAAAGAGAAAAAGCAGTTGAATTGGGTTGTATTCCTGGCACACTGTTATATCACATCGTTAGTTAAGTAAACGGATAGGAGGCGCAGATGTTCTTCGTTTTCTTTGTCTCCAAAATCGAACCGAACATCAAATGTAACATTATGGATGCAAATAGCACATAATAAAGTAGAAAAGATGGCCATACATTCTTTGTTCGCATCTAGACCGAAGCGTCAAGATGATGGTGTGTTTGCGTGTATGTTGTTTGGTGCGTTTATTTTTTTCTTTCGTTCACTTCGTACGTAATATTATTGTTGCCGAGAGGGTTACTTCGGTCGCATTCCATGGATCATCAACTCATTCAATTCAATCCATCCGGCCTTACCAAACACTCAAACACATGCAATTTGTTCACGGCTCCATAAACACAACATAATTATATTTACCACCATAAAATCGTTGTTAATATCATGAAATCGTCCGTTGCTTTTCATTCCATGCTCATCTTGCTCAGTCTCTGTGTTTGCGCATTGGGAATGGTACGATATTGAATGCTTCAATCCAATTAAAGCAATGTAGAAATGTGAAAGTTCGTTTTGTTTGAAACTACAATAATAATCAACAATCGCAGACAATGGAACTGGATCGGTGTCAGGCTATTAATTCTTGGTATTTTATGGCGGCTGCATTGAATAGCATCATCGTTGGTCAGCAACGACACGAACTAAATTCAGGCTTTGAAAATCATTTGCCTTTTTTGTCGGTATGCAATTGAAAAGGGCATTTCACTGAAACAACAACGATAACAACGAATCAAACGAATATTCATTGCCATACAATGTATGTTCATCTCTACAGTCATAAAAACCATGCGACAACTAAGCCCATTCAGTTTGCTCATTCACACACCGAACAACACTTGTTCCGATCGATTTTCAATCCAATCCCACATTGCTATGATTGTCAATGGTGCAACGGAACAAACGAGAGGCAGCTGTGAAGGCAAAAAATACACAACGTCAACGTGAATTACATTGATGACAGTTCTATCATCGACCGCATCATCATGTTGGTACTTAGTGGATCGAAGCCATTGATTGAAATGAACGCAACTCATTTTCCCATTAATTGAACATTACACTTTTGAAAAACCGCAACCGATTCGCATGACTTTTTTTTCGTGAGTGTGTGGTGTATGAATAACCGACAAAACATGCCCTCCTATGGAGAGTGTGTGTGTGTGTGTATGTGCACATGACAGGAAGTTTGCAGCCGGATTTCTTTATCGTGCTGCTGCATTCAAATACATTTCAGCCCGCACTCACTTTTTTCCTTCACTTTCACACAAATCGATATATGCAAAATGGGAAAATATTCATCATCATTCTTTTGCTTGCGAATCGTGTTTCGCTCACACCACTCACCGTTCGCAGCATTGTTCAAGCCAAATGTTTGAACAAAACCAATTCATTTATAGAGTATGCTGTATCATGTTGAACATTCATTTGAATTGAACAGAAGAGAAGAGAAAAAAAAACCCACAACAATACGCTTCACAAATGTAAGTTGACATTAATCGATGTTTTTGAACAACCGCATTCATTTTTGAGACTCCATTCAATTTTGTTGTTATTGCAGTGCACCATTACGAAATAACAAGGGATTTCAATTGCGAAAACAACAGCAAAAATTGAATTATTATTCAAAATGGTTGGAAAATTAGTTTGCGTTATTATTACATTCATCGTTTATTTTATAAATGGCAATACGGCATGCACATTGTGCAGTGCACAGGCACACACACACACACACATACACACAGCATGATCGAACACTTCGTATCCCATTTCGTAGGGGCTTGAAAGCTTATCGAATGAAATATGTTTTAATAGAAAAAGCAAAGTAATTTCGTTAAAATGAATTAAATAGCACTCTCGAGACACCGTATATAACAACGAGACACGCTTAACAAAAGAGCGAGTGTATTGCACGTTTTATTTCGCTCGTGCGCTCGCACGAACACTATTTCTTTTATTCCTTTTGCGCAAATATACTTTGTTCGGGACGAACAATTAATAAAATTACACGAGTCAATTTGACGTCATACGAAAGGGTCCCAGTGTGGTAGTGTGCACACCAACGTGAACGAACGAATTCTCTAAAGAGTCCAACCAATGGTGCACAATGCACAATTGTCATTGCAAAATGTGTGTACATTTGTATAGAAGATAGATAGAGTAAAGGCCATCAAACTTAATTGCGTTCAAAATCCAAACGCTTCGTCACTTTGGTGTGAGCGTTTTTGGTCCAGCATTCGCACCACACTAATGAAAATTGAATGCATCACATACACATTGGCACATGACTCGGACCCTTCCGAATGGGATACTTTCGTGGAATTGGCGAACGGTTTTTGCGTGCTTGGAAAAAATAAATTGGCTCCCCAAAGATTTCAATCACACATGATTGTTCGGTCAGTACACAATTGCAAGCTGGAAATGAAGTCAAAAACAGCAGCACCCCCACCGTTGTCATCACCACCGCTGCTACTGCCAATGTTGTTGCCAACACCAACGAACTCAGCGTGTTTTGTTCATTCAATTTCAACTTTGCGATCGAACAGCAAAAAATAGCATAAATTTGTTTTGTGCAACCGTGTACATATTCATTCGAGGCTATTGCCAAAGTTATTACTTTGCACACTGCATCGCAATAAAACCGTACATTTTACGCTTTTGGCATGCATTTTCAATGAGCAACTCTTCCTTTTTCTCGTTGCATTATTCACATGCATTTAAGGAATTTAAAACCATAGCCCGACACTGCATGCACTAAATAAAGTAATGAAAATTTGCGGTTGGCAACAAAAATGCACAGAGTATTTTATGCATTCAATTCATTCTATGCACATATGCTATGGGCGAGGTGCAGTCAAGCATAAAACTAAATATTCATCATCAGCAGCAGCAGCGGCAAAACAAAACGACAGTTTCCACATGAGAGAGAAAGAGAGAGAGAGCGGAGAAAAAAGTTTAATGTTGGAATTTTGGCTTGTGGTAGGTTGGCATTTCTTTCCTCCCCCACACAGATATTGTTCGGATCTCTCTTGACACATTAGCACGGTGACTCGGTTCGATGGGGAGTTTGTCTTTAAACTTTTGCATAAATCGAATCTCATGCGATAAAATCAAATGGGCTGCCGGATATGATTGCGACGAAGGGGATGCTACATGTTAGCTTAGCAACTCTTTTGAATCGCAGCGCACACAACACACACTTATAAAAAGCCATTGGCATATCGGAATGTTATTGCTCATCACGAACATTCAGCACCGTGGATGGAATTTTTTATACCTGGGCTACACAAGCAAGGGGATCAGGTGATCACAAATATTCGCAAATGATTCATCAATCATGCTTGAAAATCGCATTTCGGTTCGATTCAAAATTAGATGCGAAACATTTATGCAAATTGATTCGTCCCGCTGATCGTTTCGCATTCATTCTCGTTTGTTTATGTGCTGTGTGTTACACAAGCACCATTGTTCGGCCGCAATGATTTGAAAAGGGTCTTATTTTATTGTGTGTCTTGCATTCAAAAGAATTCAGCGAAAAGTTTTCGTAAAAAATTCAAAATTGTCACGCTGTCACCATGTGCGATGGGTGAATGTGCACGCGCACCACCGCTCACAATGACGCATTTTGATGGCTTAGATAATCAACTCGTTTGCATGCCAACCTCGAAGGATATTTTAAGCAAACGAGGGATTCGTGCCTTCGCTCAAGATATTACACGACAATAAAGTAATTGATTGGGCTGTTTAAATGAATGTGAACATTCGATTTTACATTCGGTTCGCAGGCGACGCATAAATGGCGCAGCAAAGCTATTGATGAATAAATTTTTTACGTATCGATTTTATGCTTGATTCATTCAAACGACGGATAATATTTGGTACTCACAAATTAGAATTGATAATCTCTCTACATACTGAATCAACAGCAGCTGCCACATGGTGCCGACGAAGTAAATGAGATTTGGCGAAAATTCCAGGAATTATGCTTTCATTTCATGGAATTTTGGTGTTCGTGATTTTATGTCGCTAATTGAATTGTAATTCGGAAGATCAGAAAGTCTCACTACTACTCGCACACGCACACGCACACGCACACACACAATGTTTCAACTTCGATGCGGGTAAACTTTTTCGTGAATTTAAAGTTGATGGAATAAATTGGAATAGTTTTTGTAAACACAATGTTGCGCAATTTGCTCTCCAAATACCATGTGGTACTCCATTGAATGGAATGGAATTGGATCATCAACAGAAGCCATGATGAAATAAACATTCCATTCATATTTTGAATCACCAGTATTATTCAAATGTTATAAGTGGTTTTACGCATTGGTTGCAATGTGATTTAAAAGGGCAATCAAGTCAAAAGCATATTCTTCGCAAATCCAATCGCATACAATGATCTCATTTCATTCAAACAGATTTTGCTCTTTTGCTCGTTACTCATGACGCACACAAAGACAAAAAAACACACACACAGTGTGAAGTGAAAATAATATCACAAAAACGGCAACAGCCAATAGTACTTGGAGCAGCAACACCAGTAATTACTTTGCATAGCTCACATATTTCGTTTGTTCATATTTAAATATTGTCTAAGTTTCTTTTGCTTCATTTATGGGTTAAGTTGAAGGTCATTTGGGCGATGACAGTCAGCCGATGAGGGATACGCCTATCCTTTAATGAATTGTTTATACATGGTCAAAGTGTAAATATTTCTTTTTTCCTTTTTGCTCTTTTTTCCACTGTCTACCCTGCAGGCCGTTACAAAAGAAGGTTATTTAATGAAACAAAAATGGAAATTTCACCAGCGATGGAGACGAAGATATTTCCGACTAAAAGGTCATAAATTGTACTATGCGAAGGATGTGGATGAGGTATGTGTATAATGTATATATATCGAAATTAATAAGTAATTTGAATGAATTTTCCATTTTTTTCTTCCTGGTGGGTTGATGGCAGAATTTACCATCCTTCACACACCAATTATATACCCATTTTCTTTCGACTACATTTCAAATGAAAATTTGAATGGTGGTGTAGAAAAGACATTGCATACTCAATGCTTTCCTTTGAATTCACTTGAGAAATGCTGTTATCGAATGATTCATAATTGATGATGATACATGCAAACTGATGTGTTGCCATGTTACATTCATTTTTCATATGTTCTGTTCATCCATGGCGGATGCGCGTGTCTTTGCAGGCAAACACAGAGATAAAAATCATTTGATAAGAATGACGACATGATTTATTACATCGGATGAAAGAAAAAGCCAAGCAAAACTTTCTCCATTTTCAAGTTTTTTCAATTCCATGGAATCACTGAACGATAAATACGACGACTCAAACGCAGACAAAATGCACGTTCATGGAACCGAACATTTCATTTTGTTCATGATTCATATTTGTACTACGGCATAAAATGATGCATCCTTTGGAGCGGTATCGCGAATATTGCATGTGCGCCTAAATATAGCACAATTTCATTTATTATGTGCATTTAATTTGAGAAAAAGTTCCCGTAGTAACGATAAGCTCATGCTAATGTATGTTGCAACATGTTTGCAAAAATGTGAAATTGTTTGCCATTTTTCATTTGATGATTCGTTGAGGACTGGAGAAAGGGAAAAAGAAATTCACACATTTTCAACGTTGATTTCATTTGATTGTCACCGGCGCTGACACATTTTTAAAGAGAACTCACGGAAAATATATTGCAACCGAGAGCAAAGGCGACGAACAGGAGCGAGGGACGTATATTGAAACTAGCAACGATGACGTAAATGATAAAAGCAACCATGACACAACTTCTCGTTTACATCGACAACCGTATAGAGATCTAATTTAACCACAGATCGTGTTTTCAACTTCAATGCATCAAACCGCAACTTGTTCAATACGTACGACTTGATGGATATTGTCTATGTGTATGTATGTCGCTGGAATACTGCGCTTTTCGATGTGAAGAATGTGGCATAAATTAAATTGGAAACTTCACACGTTATACATGAATAAATTTGGTGCAGCAAATGAAAATTTCTCATCCGTTCAATTTTAATTGAAAGTTATGTCACTTGAATCGGTATGGGTGTGTGTGCGCGCTTGAGTATATGCTAAGAACTATTTACTGTAGGAAGGGAGTTCGTTTGTAATAGTGTAGGAAACGTGATTTACGATACAATCAAAGTGAGAAGGAGTGAGCGAGAGAAGGAAAAAAGAACATAAAGTGAAGTGAGCAAACGGTCGATGAGCAGAGTGCACCATGCACATTCGCTGAATGAACATAATCAATCACATAATTGATTCGAGAGAAATGGATGAGTTGCGTTTCAATTTATATGATAATGGGCGCGTATTTGTATCGAGGGCATTGAAGATTGTGGCATCATAATGTACGCGTTCGATTCACATCCTGACACACATCAAGCGGAACTGTTCGCCTTGACCAGAAATGAAGACAAGTGCGATGAAGGAAAACTGCAGAGAGAGAAAGAGTGGAAACGCACGGGAAAAAACGCTTGACACGCACGTTCGAAAAACGGCCATCAATCATCACGAGAAGAAACAAACACACACACACACAACGGGCCAACAATCACGCTGGGATTTACTTTCCGCTTTTGTTTACCTTGTGAGTTGGTTGCAATCAAGTTATACGTGACTGTGACGACGAGTGTTTCTAACCGAGCAGCCACATTGGTTTTGTATGACCATATTCGACGAAAATGTGTCTTTGCCGGCATAAAAACCATCCACACAGTAACCATTGTCTTTAATTATACATCGCCTGTAAAAGAAAAATAAGCTGAAATTTTCAAACAAAAGAGCGCCCTACAATAACAAAGCAACCGGTGAAGCGGTGCGCTACCGCAATTTCCTGGAAATGAAAATGGCAATAACAAAATGCGAAAATGGAAACTTTCATTATTTCCCATTTGTATTGTGTTTTCACTTGCAGACTGAGTTTTTGTTTTTGCAAATTGAACAATAACACGAAATCGGATAAACACACTTTTGTCAAGGTTGCATAAAATTGACCTTTGCCATAGGAAGAACAAAAAAAACAAAAGTGTATGAAAATGATATTCTCACGGGCAACAATGATTGGTGTATATTTTTCGGTTGCTCAATTTGCATTTCGAGTGAATCGAATGAATCAACCATAAAGTTGTTTTGCTTACGGCACTTCGAAGGATTAGGATTATCGGACAACAGAGAAAATTTCAGCGTAATCGGTGCTTACATATTTATTGATTGGCCTTAATTTTTGTGCACATCGCCAGAATACGCCGTAACAAGCTCTGATATTTTCAAATGTACACCGTAACAATGAAACGAACAACAATCGTCAAAATGATCGATGCATAAATTTCCACGGACGATGAACGAAATATTTCGATAAACTTCGATGATTCGTCGAAAACTTACTTCGTCATTATCATCATCATTGTCATGGAACTCGATTCGATACAAATGCGAAAAATACTAATAGACCGAGAGCCCACGTACAAAATACTATATTGATAAGTCTCATGTCAGATAATTGATCGTAGGTAGATATTAATGCCAATATTCAGAATATTTTTTATTATAGTATGAGACTTATCAATATAGTATTTTGTACGTGGGCTCTCGGTCTATAATGTAATCGTTCTTGGAAGGAGCAAATAATAATCTGGGAATTACCATTATTTCGCAATTTATCTTGTCTGTTGAATGGATGAATCATATTAAAAATGGCTTCCCTTCGATTCCAGGATGTTGTGTTGACAAATTTTGTGTGTGAATAAAAAAAAGGAGCGAAAAGAATGGAAACAATTGAATACATGGGTCAATCATGTTCTACCGTAATTTCCCAGTTAAAGGTAACCGAGCATCCGAGAATAAGAACATGAACCGAAATTGCGTAACTACAAATGAAATGCGTGCGTTAGGAATTATCATAGCACTCTAACACAATCAAATTAATCCATCATTCTGACATTTTTATGTTGACGTTAATCTTTGCATTGACTCCAGATCTACGAACATATCGTATGACACATATAGACACCCAACTCGGCAGGGCGACTCGGAAAATTCACATGCGCTCACATAAAACCATATAAGCATACATACGACGTATCTCGCGTATGCACGTATTAAAACGATTTGATGAACATCCGCACGTGCCTACTCGTATTTCAACCGTAGAAGCGGCCAACAGTGAAATGAATATATTAGAATGTGCAGGCACGCACAAAGGCAAACACAAACACATAAACGTAAACTCACGGACCACCAACAATAGCTATTGCAATGACACTTGAAATGGGTTACGACCGAGAGAGAGTTGATAGATAAAAGAAGAGAAAAACTTCCAGACCCAAAGGACGACAACGACAACAAGAAGAAAAAGCTCACGAGTGGATTATGTTCTTTTCTTTTTTGGTTTTTGCCTGTATTGAGAAGATATTTGGCAACGTGACATCGCAACTTCAAAGCAGTAGCAATGTATTCAAGTGATCCATGACTTCCAAATATGGGATGCACATCAGTCCGTGTGTCGCCATCCTTATCGTATTATATGAACAATGGCTCACACTGAGCACATGAAAGAAAGAAGAAAAAAAGGGTAAAATCAACAACAAAAACCGAATAAACAATACACAACGTACGCTAAATGTCAATAAAGTTGAAAAACTTGAGCCATTAGAAGTGGTTAATGGTTGTTTCGCAACTTTTAATTCACACCACAATCTATATTCTCTTCTTTTGATATTTGTTTACACACACTGGCGTTTGTTTTATGGCTTTGCTTGTATGCAAGAAAGCAGAAATATTAATAAATCTGTGGCTCAATCGAAAAACAGCCACAATGTTGCAATTCATTCGTCAGCATTTTGTTAAATTGTACAAAGCAAACAAAATGTGGATCCTTTTTATGAGGTTTCCTTTTGCTTCAGTTGCGAAATCAAAGCACGTTGATTGGTTACATGATTTTCTAGGATGTGATGTCATCCGTTGGAAAGTGCCTTCCCCTTAAATTATTCCAATTCAAAAGGTCACGTATTTCGAGATGTGTGACGTTGTTTTCGTCATCGTTTACCATCCCAACCACAACCAAACTTCGACATAGCCACGTCACTGTTGTACACACGCACGTTACACCTGTTTTTGACACATAAACTGAACCGCTGTTGGATGATGAGTGAGAGCACGATGCGCAAACACTTTTTCAACTCAAGCACACACACAGAGGCGCACAGACGCACACATCGGGAAAATCACTCAAAACATTCACATTTGAGCAAATACATTCACACCAATTTTCCACCCGAAAGAGACCGACTGCTGTAGCTGGTGCGTTTGAGGGTGATAGATATGGTGATGTGTCGAAATTGCATGCGATTCCCGCCAAATCAGATGTAAATACGAATAGGTCATGTGCTTGGTTGGGCTATCTGAGTGAAAATTTCCATGCAACCGAACCCATCGAGTTGGGTTCTTGGTGAAAATTCAGCTCAACATAAAAATTGAGCTAAAAACTCCGTCGAGCAAGTCTATAAAATCAACGGTCGTTCCGGAATTCACAACAGTATCTCACAAACATTGAACAGTGTAAGAATGCCAACCAGAGAAAAAAAAGAATTGCACGTAACAATCATATAGAAAAAAAAAACAACAGACCACAACTTTTTTAAGTCACATTAAAACTCCAATTTAAACCAAATAAATAAAACAAATCACAGATTTAATCAACTTTGATATTCCAATAAGTGTTTTATTACGAAATAAAAACGTAAAATCAAATTAGAGGAAAAAAACGAACAAACAGAAAATTTGTATAAAAGAAAGAGAATCCTTAAGCAGTTTGAAGTTAACAACAAAGAAG